CTCGGAGCCGTAACTGCTGCTTGCGGCTGCCGTCGGGAACAATCCACTTTTCAAGCTCAGTCGTCTCCGGGGCTTTGCTGGCGCAGCTGCTGGTGGCGCGGGAGAAGGGGCTCCGCTCCGCTGAAGGGCTGGCTGTGGCCGGGAGCGCTGCCTCGCAGAACCACGGGGTGCGCGCAGATGAAATGAGAATCTCTCTCTTTCAAGCCGGAGGTCAATCACAATCAGCAAAACAGCAGTTAAGCTTTAATGGACAGGAGCGGTTGGGTCTCTGGGTGTCAGAACAAAAAGGAAGCGGAGGGGAGCTGCACTTGCTGCGTTTTCTTTGCTCGGATGCTTCACCGACAAACGACCGAGCTCATTGTGAATTTGGGACCTGCCGCATTCCAGCAGCTCAACGGCCTTTTCCTTGCTTTTGGGTGCCATCCGGTGCCCTTTGCCTCAGATGCATGTCGGCCCCTGAACTTGGTGGTTTCAGTGCATCCGTGCAGAGCCCGAGAAAGAGCCCGTGACGCCTCCACCACCCCCATGGCTCACACCACGCGGACTGAATTCCTGGGAAGGAAGGGTGTTGGAGCCCCGCTCGGAATGGGCCTCTGTGGAGGGACCCCCCACCTCGCCCCTGCCCCCTGCACTCCTCCCTTGTCTGTCCCGAGCCCCAGGCGCAGCCGTAGGGAGCTGGTTGGTGTCATTCTTTGCATCCCCCCAGGAAGGGGGCAGGCAGGGGCTCAACCTTGGGCCTAATGCCGGACTCTATTGGATGGTTATAGATCACTCCCTTAAGCTATTAATTCCCAAATGCTAGGCCAGCAGGGCATGACAAAGTGCTGCGAGAGATCTGCTAGTGTGCTCCATGATAAATAAATGTGTCTGTGAGCCCCAAAATTGCCCCCCCCACATCACCCTGTCGCAACTCTGTATGAATTGCTGCTCTGGCCTGGCCATCGTTCAGCTGGGTCCAAGCACTTCTGCTGTGCTTGCGTCTGAGCTGTGCTGTGCGCATTCGCTGCATCTTGTCCTGTCCAGCTAGAGGGATAAGTGCACCCTTATCCATGCTCCAGTAAAGGATGCAGACAGGAACGCCGGTGTGGGCACTGAGGACAGGTTCCAGTGAGGTCTGTTACTTGGAGGGCACATAATGTTGAGGTGCGGGTGGAATGAGGCATGTCTCCAATTTTAACTCAGATCAGTGTTTTATTTTATTAAAAAGTTTCCAAATGGCCTTTCCAGGCATAGTTGCCATTACAGGAAGGCGTTCTAAGATAAACATAGGAACATTAAAACTATCAATTCTACATCCCTTACAATGAGCAGTTTAATCCAAATTGTGGTAATTAATAAAATGCAGGTTGTCCAAGATTTTTGAAAATGAGAATGTAGTAATGAGCAAGCTGCACAGATTTCTGTACTTCTCAGCTTTCAGAAATTTGGGGAAGACTGACTTAGAACACCAAACCAAATACTTGAACTGAAATAACGTCTCGTAGGTGTAAATTGGGAGGAAGCCACTGTCACCAAGGGAAGCAATTCAGGAATGGTCTGGGATTTGCAGGGATGTGTTTGTTTATATGAAGACTGCCTTATGATTCCATGTTTTCCTCCTTTTGTGAACTTACGACTTATTCAGGGTATTGAAGAGAAGTTTGGTTTCATGGAAAGGCAGTAGATAAATGCTGGAAGTTATTTCTTATGCAAGTTTTGACTGGAAAAAAAGCCTTCTGCCCCCAGAATGCAGGGAGTTGTAGAACTTTTTTCCTGTCAGAACTCGCATAGGTGTCCACTCATTGTTGACATACCAGCAAGGACAGATGGCCTGGAATAAGAACCAAAGTCCAAAGTGTGTCTGCCCACTTCCTTGTGCTCCCCTCACTATCCTTGCGTAAGAATCATTTGGATACTGTGTTCTTTGTGTTCCACTGGAGCTGGAAGGGAAATAAAATGGAAATATTGCAATTTGCATGAAGTTGCATGGAATGCTTCCTCTCCTGCTTTGAGAGAAAACCAGGCTGTACTGGTGTGACTGGAAAGAATATAAAACATGTTTCGGGAGAATGTAGCTAAATGCGTGTGCACATTCATACTTAGGTATGAATACCTGTGTCTTTACACCATTTAATGTAAATGAAATAGAATCCTGTGCCTGCAATTCTGTCTTCTGGGCACCAAGATTTAAAAAAGATGCAAAAAATGAGAAAAGGTCCAGAGGAGGGCAACAAACACAATCCAGGATTTGGAAACACTGGCCTATGAGGAAAGACCAGGAGAACTGGGCATGTTCAGCCATGAGAAGATGGAGGGGGGACATGAAATCCCTGTATAGGTACCTCAAAGGCTGTCACAAAGAGGAAGGTCAAGGTCTCTCCTTGCTGATGCCACAGTGCGGGACACGGAATAATCAAGTCAAGTTGCGACAATCCAGATTCAGGCTGGACATCAGGAAAAGCTGCCTCACTGTCAGAGCAATTCGGCAGTGGGACCGGCTTCCTGGAGAGGTGGGGGGCTCTCCCACACTGGGGGCATTCAAAAAGAGGCTGGGCGGCCACCTGAGTGGGCTGGTGTCGCCTGGTGTCCTGCCACAGCAGGGGGTGGACCTGATGGCCTTCTTGGCCCCTTCCAGCCCTGCTAGTCTATGAGTCTGTGAAAGCCCTGTGCTGTTGTCCTGTCATATGTGCTAGTCCTTCATGGTAGCATCCTCTCACATTCAGTTGTGAATGATCCTGCCATGCCGGTTAAACTAGAATTTATTTTACTTGGTTTTATTCACTTTTATTTCTTAAGCAGATTTCTATACCAGTTTCCTTTTTCAAAAGAAGCCCTCAGTGATTCACAGAAAAAAATAATAAAGTACAGTAAATGTGGCTCTTAAAGCAATTAAACATGCTCAATGACCAGGGGTTTTAATTAGGAAAATCAGGCTTAGTCATGGAATACTTGGGCAATCGAATATGGCATGCTGGTTGAAGTGCCACACGCAAGTTCCTGTTTTGCACAGTGGTTGCCCTTACAGAGAGACCCTCCGCCCCCACATTCCCCGCCAGGTGGGCATCAGTAGATGGGACAGCAAGCACAGCTGCCTCTGCAGAACGCGAAGACCAGAGTTGTCAACACACGGGGAGAAGCAGTTTCTGGAACTGGGGCAGAAGGCCGTCGTCTCCAAACAACTCCCTTTTTCTTCTCTAAGTTGTCCCTCTTAGTTGAATGCTTTGCCTCTTAGGGACAGATTTGCCTTGAAGTCTTCCCAAAGAGTGGGCCGTCACGCCCCCCCCCCCCGTTCTGGGTTCTGCCTCCAGGTGCTAGCAGTGTTTCATATACAGGTATAAATAAGACTGTCCCACTCAGAACCCAGTCTGGGCAGAATCCATGAGGATGCTTTATTTCTGGATTGTACCACTTCAGGTGGCAGATGAAAGGTTGGCTGGCTAAATGGCCTCTGTCCTGAAAGAGTTACTTATGTACTTCTTTATTTGATTTATAGGCTGCCCCACTAGGCATAGGCTCTCTGGATGGCTTACATCATGACAAAATCCATATATACATTATCATAAAGAACAAGCTGTGGGGGCAAGCTGGGTGTTGTCTGCCTATACACGTATAGGATTATGCTTTAAAGTATCTTTTAGGCAGAAGATGTGATTCCAGACAAAGAGGATTTTTGATAGGCACCTGGCCAGCTGCACCTTGAAATGGTGCAGGCCAGGAAAAGCATCCCATCAGACTTAGAAATCTGGGAGTTTTTTTGCAGCTCTTGGCCCAGTGCTTGCTGTACCACAGTTACATGTTTTAAAAATAAACGGATGTTTCTTTACTTTTCTTGCATGCTGCCCAGACAGTTTTACTGAAGGGTGGTCTGAATATCTTTAAATGCATAACTAAAACAAGAAGCCTCTGCGAATGCTGTCCTTGGCAACCTTCACTGTCCTGGACCCTCCAGGTGTGCCAGTGTGTAACTCCCAGCATCCCACAGCAGGTGTGCTAGGAGTGGTGACGTATCTGCCTGGGGAAAGGCACCCTGACCCTCCCTTGGACAAGAAGACTCATCTGACCCTGCCCACCTGAACACTGAGCTCATTCACCTGCCCTTCTTCCAGCATGATAGGTGCTTCTGTCCACCAGCAGCTCCCTTCTATATTCTGCACAGGTTCCTAGGCAAACAGTCCAGGGCCATGAATTGGACATCAAAAAAGCATGTGAGAGAGGGTTTCAGCCCCCTGGGCTGTCCTGCTGCTGCGTGGGTCACACCATCTTCTCAAAGGAATTTCAAAGTTTGGGGCTGCTGTATTATGTTCTGCTGCAGGATTTATCTTCCTTTTGTCATGCCCTGTTTTGTTACTGTTTTACGAACTTGCATTTTATGTTTTTAATGTGTAACCCAGCCAGAGAACCATGGTTCTAGGTGGTTTAAAGATGGAGCAGAAAAAAACCCAAAATTATTGTGAAGTTTATTTCTGTTCATTTAGGTTTGAATTGGGGGAAAGGTTTCCTGCCCCATTCCAGGTGCCTGTTAACTTAGCAATGTGTAGGCAGCATTAGCACCAGTATCACTATTGTGTGTGGTTATTTTGCTCACAGCGAGCTTCAGATGGTTGCAGGCTCCGCTTTGCATTTGGTGGCCATTTGCCTCTGCTGTTTATATCTTGAGCCCCAACGTTTATGCACGCACATGCATGCACACCGTCCATGCTCAGGATCGCTCATGTGCATGTGCATACACACCTGTCGACTGAAGATAATACGTCCCGTGTCTGATTGGGTCATTGCAACCCCGAGAAGCTTCTGCTGCAAATCAGTCTTTAGGGTGCCGAGAGACCCTTTCTTGCATTGCCCTCACAGACTACATGTCACCCTCTGGGCGTGCAGGACTCGGAGAATCCCCCTCCTCAGGGCGCCTCTGTGGTCTCTGAACCTGTCAGAAAATGCCGCCTGTCAATAAAGTTGCACATCTCTGTTGAAAGTGTTGCTTAGTCCTGCAACAAACTAATGTGCCCTCTGTTTCTTCCCTCTAGGGTGGGAATCTCAGCTTCTGGAAACAGGCTTTTTAGGAATATTCCTCTGCCCCTTGTGGACGCTTTCCCAGTTGCCCCAAAACACGCCTCCTTCCCGTATTGTCATCTGGGGCTATCGGTGGCTTATTTTCAGAATCATGCTTGGAGCGGTAAGTGGATTATATTCTGTTTTATGTTTGTTTTGTTTAATTTTGCATTTGTCCACTGCAGCCATAAGTGGGGTTTGTCAGTAGCCCATTTCCTGGCTGCCTGCGGGAAGGACTCTTTTCTAGTGAACAGGCAGGCAAGTTTTCCAAAACGTTGGTGTGCTGTGCTTTTCCTCTTTGAGGCTCCTCCTCACCCTCCGTCATGTGAGTCTGTCTGGGTAGATAATCTAGAAAAAGCATTTTGGCAAGGTGGCCATTTCTGTGGACTGGCTTGGAAGGCTGAAACCAAGGCAGGTGTGTGTCCACTGGCAGCTGCCGTCACACCCCGCTCTGTCCGAGAGAGTCTCCCTAGCTCAGCTCCTTTGTCTGACTTGCACGCTTTCAGTACTCCATGAAAATCTGCCCTTTGAGGTCCTGGTGAGGCTGGCGGCAGAAGCTGGGGGCAAACTCCGACTGGGCCCTTCAGACTCCAGGATGCCGCGGGGAGGTGCTCACTGGGCAGCTGGCACTGGTTCCTCGGGGTGGACGGAGGGTTATCCGAGGCTGCCTGAGAGGGGGTTGCAGCTTGCCAGGAGAAGACCACGTGGCACGCCGAAGGCCTCTGGCAGGACGGCTGGCATCTCCAGGCAGTGCTGGGAAGGACCCCGCCTGAAACGTGGAGGAGCTGCTTGCAGTGCCCGAATTCACCCACACACAAAGGCTTAGTGCAGGGGATTGTGAAGATTTATGGCTGATTGTTTTTAAGATATGCTGGGGTTTTGCACTGTTATTCTTTTAAATTTCATACAATTTGTTCCTTGTTTTATTGTTTATCTGTAACCCACGCTGAGGGCGTTGGATAGAAATTCAGTAAAGAGATAATTTCTATTTCGAACCATCCTCTTAGCCCATTAGGGTTCTCTGGGCAGTACACAAGGCATGGTTTGGAACCAGACTTTAGAACGAGCTCCCCAGAGAGGTCTGCCTGCTACCCTCTTTCCATTCTTTTTGATGCCAGTGGAGATCCTTTTATTTTCCAAGTGCTTTAATGGTTAGAATTATTTTAATGGTTTTAATAGTTTACATTTGGCTGGAAATGGTTGTTGTGCCTTTATGTTGATCTGTGGTTCTGTGAAGTTTTACAATGGCATGGCTTTACTTGCTAGATTGTTAGATTTTACTGCTATATTAGTATTTTCATTGTATATTGTAATTTGATTGTATATTTCTTAATGTGTAAACTGCCCCGGGAGCCTTGTGGCTAATGGGGTGGGAAAAAAGGCCAACACACACATACATACATACATACATACATACATACATAAATACCATATAGAAAATCCAAAATATATAATACATAACAAAAGGAATCAGAAAGAAAGAAAAATATATGTAAATGTATAACAATATATCAAAGAATAATATCAAATGGCAAACAATATAAATATCAAATGTCAACCATATGCAAGTAAACAATGCAAAAATGTCAAAAATGATAATGCAACAATATATCAAATAATAATATCAAAATTAAACAATATCAAATATCAACAATATCAAAGTAAAGCAATGCAACAATATCACAACCCTAAATAACAATAAAATGTCAGAACCCAGCCAGCTGGTCAAGAGAATCCCTTTTTTGGGATCGGAATGTAAACTGACCTTTTCCAATCCTGTGGCCACTGTTGAGTTTTCCAAATTTGCTGGCATATTGAGTGTAGCACTTTAACAGCATCGTCTTTTAGGATTTTGAATAGCTCAGCTGGAATACTGTCACCTCCACTAGCTTTGTTGTTGCTCAGACTTCCTAAGACCCATTTGACTTCACATTCCAGGATGTCTGGCTCGAGGTCAGTGACCACCCCATCGTGGTTATCAGGGACATTAAACTCTTTCTTGTATAGTTCTTCTGTGTGATCTTGCCACCTCTTCTTAATCTCTTCTGCCTCTGTTAGGTTCCTGCCGTTTTGGTCCTTTATCATGCTCATGTTTGCATGAAACGTTCCCTTCATATCTCCAATTTTCTTGAAGAGATCTCTGGTCCTCCCTAGTCTATTGTTTTCTTCTACTTCTTTGCACTGTTCATTTAAGAAGGCATTCTTATCTCTTCTAGCTGTTCTCTGGAATTCTGCATTCAATTGGGGGTATCTTTCTCTTTCTCCCTTGCCTTTCGCTTCCCTTCTTTCCTCAGCTATTTGTAAAGCTTCCTCAGGCAGCCATTTTGCTTTCCTGCATTTCTTTTTCTTTGGGATGGTTTTAGTTGATGCCTCTTGTACAATGTTGCAAACCTCCATCCATAGTTCTTCAGGCACTCTGTCTATCAGATCTGATTCCTTAAATCTATTTGTCACCTCTACTGTATATT